TTGATAGGTTGATACGGTCCCATCTTAATATAAGCTCGTCTTATTTCATCTCTTTGATCGACAGGACATTTCCATATTGGAGTGCGCAATGCCGGGTCACGTTCAATAGAGCTCATATCAATAGAGGCGGCAACATCATCATTAGAAGGACGATCTCCGCTTGTCGACGTATGCTCTTTTGGCTTAAAGAATGAATTGATAGTCTTTCTTTTCTTCGTTCCTTGACCCTCCATTATAATTAAAACCTATCAAGTTAACAAAAATAGTAAATTAATTAAGCATTTAGGTGATAGAAGCAAACTAAAAAAAATAATAAAATAAAAAAAGATAATCAAAAATATATTGTGGGTTTTTGTACACAATCATATTATGAATGACAAGCATCCACACATTTATAAGAATGAGTACATGATCAACTAGATTAATTTCGTAACGGCCATCTTGCCAGATTAATTGATCTGTAAAAATAAATAAATTGATAAAATCACATTCTTTAAAATCATATTCTTTTCTGTACAGAAAAAGAAAATCATATTCTTTTAATTTAATTAAAAAATAAGATAAACTACAAAATAAAATAAAATAAAATAAAATAAAAAATGTAGCTATATTATCAGCCACCTTCACTCTCTTTCCACTTTCTTTCTAACAAGAAAACAAAAGGGGTAAAGGGAAACAGGGCAAGAAAAAGGGGGCCTCAGCAAGAAAAAAAATTGTATTATTTGTGACAAACCAAATAAATTCTAATTTAACCATTTGTGCGGATAGGAAAAGAAAATTTCCACAATTCACAAATGCATCCAATTTTTTCAACATACCAAAATTCCCAAAAATTGTGTTCACTTAGGCCTTAGGGTTTACTGTTCAGAATACTTTAAGACAAAAAATTAATACTTCAAGACCCAAAAAATAATCAATCGAATTATTCACAAACCACATAAAACCATGTTCTTGAATAGGGTTCTCCAATCTAAATTGGATGTTAGATTTCTTACCAGTGTCGAGCGACTCAGTCACTCAGCGAGGAAGTGAAACCGAGGCCTGGGGCCGGGGCGGAGGGATTGACGGCGAGGAATGAAACCGATGGCTGCTTGTTTTTTTTGAAGGATGAAACTGAAACCTGTGGATGGAAAAATTGGGGATGATGACCGAATGAGTATGTTGTGACTGGGACAAAATTGAAGTAAGAGTTTTTTTTTTTTTTCCTTCTTTGGTCTTTGAATCGTTTTTAGGGATAAATGGGCCATTAAAAAAAATAGAAGAAGTATTGCTTTAGTTTTTTTGGGCTTTTTTTTTGGGTTTCAGTATTGTGTGGGCCAAACAAATAGGGCTGACTTAAGAATTAGATGGGGCTAATAACTAAAATATTGTGAAATATAATTTTTTTTTTTTTTTTAATTTTACCTGGGGCTGGAGCCCACCCTAGCCCATGGGTGGCTCCGCCCCTGGTCTTATGTGAGCTCAGCCCAACAACAACATTATAAGCACAATGATATCGGATTTGCGATAGACCAAGAGTCGAGCTAAATCGATCCGTAAGGGATACGTATAGAGTCAGGATAAAAAAAAAAGAACAAATGATTTGACGGACGAAGAATGAAGCGTACGGAAAAAACTAATAATCCAACATAAATAGGTAGAACGATGAATGAGATAAGGTTAATCACACTCTACAAACTCTAATACTACTTACAATTACATACAACTTTCTTCTATCTATTACTAACTTGAGCATCAAAGGTATAACAGCGGGAGCACCTCCCGGCATATTTGCAGGTCTTTGGGAGCATCAAACGGTTGAGGATTAGAGGAAGGCCGGATCGAGGTGCAGGAGCACATCATATATCGTATTTTTAACTTATATTTAAATATAAAAAATGTATTTAACTTGTTGGAACAGTACTTTTGCGTACCCCCAGTCCAAAAGGCCAACCGGATATTTTGTTGGAACTGGTTTACATACATGACTTTTACAATGGTATTAATATGGAATTTTACCTGACTATTTTTATTTTTATTAATAAAATAAAATGGTCATTAATATGGAATTCCACTATAAATAAATCTAACAAATTTAGTTAATTTGTAAATATTTATATAAGGGATGTAAATATGTAATAAAGATAGATTAATTAAGTGTAGCGTGCAAATTCCTCTACAATAAACACTTGAAAAAAGTCCATTGAAAAAAAATTAAATCACAAGGAAGGGACTCGCACTTAAAAGAGCCCAGAAACAACCAAGCAAGTATTAATCAAATTAAGCTAGAGGTTCTCAAAATCAGACCGGTTATCGAACCAATCAAGTTGTTGGGTCAACGATTTATTGCTCCGATAAATGATTGAACTGGTTGGAACAATATTTAATTTATTAATATTTACAAATTCTTCGTTATTAAATTTATAGTCAATACAAAACATTCAAACACCTAAATTAACTATACATCCATATTTTTAAATATGTATATTTTCACTTGCATTAAAAATATTTTTAAATTTTAAATATAGTAAAATTTAGTATTTTCTTTTCTTTCTTTTTTTTTTTGGTAAATTTGAATCCGACCAATCGGCTTTCGACCGACTCAATGGCAACCGGTTTATTCCAGCGAACTGGATCGGTCAACTGACCGGTTCTCGGTCCAACCGATTGGACTGGCCGGTTCAATCAAGTTTTGACAACCAACGAACAACTATGAATTAACACTTAAAATAAGATGAAAAAAAAAAGAACAAGAATATACAAAATATTCCAAAAATAAAAATCAATCACTAAACAAGGATTGACAAATATCAGAGAAAACCTCGAGTATAATCCCGTGATAATCGGAAGTATTCAAAGACAAGAAGCTAAAGAGGAGGGTGTCCAATTCCTCGGCCCTAAACATCTGCCGATCGATTATCATCTCCACCATCGACGCCATGAAATCGCGGTAAGGGTCGCTCGACCTCTTCTCCACCGCAATACCCGACGAGCACCTCCGGCGATTCCTCCGGCAATTCCTCCGGCGCCGCCCGCTCTCGTAGTAAATCCTGGTCGCCGCCAGATCTGATTCCACCCCGGACGAGGAGGAGGTCTCGTCGATGCTCTTCATCCCTTGGAGTGAGTCGCCGGAGTTCGACGAGAGGCTGAAGAAGTCGTCGACCTCGAAGCGCAGCCTCATCTCGTCGCCGCTGGTGAACCACCGGCCGCTGTGGGAGGACGAGCTCTGGCTCCTGAGGGGTTTGTTGAGGGTCGCTTGGGGGTATTTTCGTCCCTCGGCGTCGGAACAGTGGTGGCTGCGTCTCGAATGTTTGTTGGGGGCCTCGGAGCAATTTTTGACAATGTTGGGGTCGTTTTGCGATTGGGGATGAGAAGAGGGGTGGGGTGTTTTCTTGATTATTGGAATGAGAGAGGAGCTGTTTGCAACGTCGGGTAAATTTTCGGAGCGGCAAGAGATTAGGGAAGAAGGAAAAAGCTTGGAGAGTTTGAGCAGCAAATTTTTGTGGCTTTCCATGTTCAATTTTCTTGTTTATTTTGGAGTTGAAAGGATCAGAAATGGGATTTAAAGAGAGAGAGAGTCAGAGAGGGAAAGAGTGGGTGCTTTGCAAAAATTTGAATATGAATTTCACCGTCACTATCTGATTTTTTTTTTCTTTTATGTGCAAAGGTCTCGTGAAAACGGGGGTTACGGCCAAACAACAACACATGTGAGGTTTTTTTTTTTTATTATTACTAGTGTTAAA